ATGCTAATACCTTGGTAGAAGAGAAAGGATATTTAAAAAAAAAAAAAAAAATTCATCAAGATACTCGGAATCCTCCTTTTGTTGTTAAGAAATGCCAAACAGATCACACTGAACAGAAGTAAACATGCCCACGAACCTGTTTTGCAGTTTCTCTGAGCCAGTCTTTTATATCTTCTTCCTTAAGAGAGCAGCCAACAAACACAAGGAAGCACTCCTGTTGACTGCTGCAATCTCTGTTATCGCTTCTTGAATCAGGAGGAGTTGGCCCCTCCTGAACAGGCACAAGGCTTAGTGAATTAGATGATGTGTTGTGACAGACTTCAATCACTTTATCAGAATCTAACAAGGAGAAGACAGAAGACAGAAATGTCCTGATAATTGCTAATCTAATTTAACATTAACATACTGGTGTAGACAGAATACAGTACCTAAAATAGTCTTCAAATACATATACAAGCAGTGCAATGACAAGACAACGCATAGGTAGTGATTTGCCCTTACCTGAAAACTTAACTTTGCCCATGATGTGATAAATGTTTCCAGAAAAAGGACTTGGCTTAAGCAATGACTTAATCGCTGTTTGAAATAGAAAGTAAACAGATTATCTCATTTATTTTTCTTCTCCTTGGTATAGCTTCTGGTCAGACCTATGCTACAGGTCTCTAATCCACATCCTAGCGCTTCAGGGGAAAAAGCTGCAGTGTCCCCCGGAGCCCCACTACATAACATTTCTATATGTTCTCATTTCTTTGCTATGGGGTAGGTAGGAAATAACATGCGTTTGGCACAATGAACGCTTACAGTGTGTGTGGCAAGTAAAATGGTGCTCCTTAACACTGTTTTGCTAAGGAAAGAAGGAAAGGCATGATTATGTGTCTACTCTAGTAGCCTAACACAGTTGAGCCTATTTTCTAGTAACTACAAAGAATTATTTGGCATAAAAAGCAGAAGCCAATGGTCACTTGTATATTGTGTTTTGACATTACTAAATTAAATTAAACATACAATAAAAAGCAAACATATGAAGATAAGTGTCTCAGTCTCTAGAAACCAAAAATTGGAAGTAGATTTTCATCTGAAGAAAATCATGGGTCAATTTTCCACAGCAGACACTAAAAAACATGATTTACTGTACTTTAAGGAAGGAAAGCTGAATTTTCAATTAAAAGTTTACTTCAGTAATTAAATGACTGTTCTACATCAGTGCCTGCCTTCCCCTCTATTCCTCAGTATTTCAAACTTGGATTTAAAGCAAGCCAGTCAAAGTTCATTTGTACCTTTACATTTGGTCACAAATCGTGTTTTTTCTAGAGGACGATTAAACCACACACAGATCTGAACCATTGGAGGGAAGACCGACCCAGCTCCATATTTGCCTTCATACCTTAAGACAAAAACAAACACACACCTTCAACATGCAGAAGACACATGCACTTCTGCTTTTCATCTAACAAACTTCTTAAAAGGAACATCTATCATTTCACCACAGTTAAGCCTTGCTCATAGGAAGAAAAACACTAAGCTTTCTTCTCTAAGTCACACATGAAAATGTGATATTAACAGCACTAGGTTGTTCAAAGCGCTCTGGACACATTTTGATGCTCTTCTTGCTCTAATTTTTTTTTTCTTACATACTATCTACATACTACTCTCTTGCATACTATCATCAAATGGATTAACAGTTATCCAGAAGTCTTAAACACTATTTTCCTGCTTTCTCTCTCTCCCTTTGGCTTCACACAATCCACAAGCAGCTCTGACATCTCAAGCTTTGTGCCAGTTTACTTTCGGAGCCTTAACTGCATCCAATTTAAAGCAAGAATTATGAATACAAAAATATACATACATACATACAGGACTGGCAACATATGGTAAATCCATCATGCTTCCAGCACTATAAACCTAACCAGAAAACAGTCAGCCAGGAGTTATAACGGCTGACAGGTTTACATTTTCTGCCAAATAGGTGCAGCACAGATAAACGCAACAAGATGTGTAGAGAAGCCTGATCCATGAAAAATATCACTCAATATTAAATGGAAAGCTTGGTACCATCTATTATTGTGCCTTTAGCCTCTGCCAAGGCTGTCAATAAGGTTGCTGGTTTTTATGAATAATTGTTCTGCTAATAGCTAGACTGACATAGCAAGTTCATTCCAGTCAGGCTGAATAGCTGTCAGAATGAAATTACCCTAGTCATTATTGACCTCACCCATCCCAATCCTTCCCAGCTTATTCCCAGAGGGTCCTTTTTTATTCTTCTGAAAAGCAACAGTAATCTTGTCATTGATTTAAATGGTGTCCAGAAAGGATCCTTTTCCCCATAAAAGCACAGCAATTGTGTATCTACTAAGAATACTCATCAGGTCTCTTTTAAAAATGATTTACAAAGCTATGGCCTGCTCCAAATGAGTAGTCTTGGAAAAAAAAAAAAGAAGTTAGTGAGACTTTTTAATCCTCAAGTTAATTAGAAAAATAGTTTTAATATTTCTCAGTCTAGATACTTGCCAGCCAGGATACATTAAATATCGAGCTCTCATCATCTGAGGATTTGAAAAGCTGCTTTCTGAGAGAATTAATTCAATATCCTCATTCCTATAAAGAGATAAAGATGAAGATTTTTAATTTTATAAGTTCAAGAAAAGGGCCACTTTCTGTATCCTACTTACATAAACCAGAATGTGTTAGTCACAGCAAAATTCAGAGTATTTTCCCCTTAGAAGGACAGTAACAGTAACGTAAGTCATACACCACAAACAAAAACATACATTTCCTAATCCCTACATTTATATGACCATAAACATAAAGGGAAGATGCCTTTTGCATGAGAAGCAATTAAGAAAAATCTGTATCTCCTTTGTATAAGTTACCAGAGTAAACCAAGAGAACACAAGTTTCTAAATGCATGCGTGCCATCTGGCAAAAGGGACCAATATTGGACAGTGATGAACATTACCTAGTTACAACTCCATTTTCTGCCAAGATGAATGAAACAGCAGGATTTGCCGCTCGGATAAGGCTCTGCAGTTGCATAAGGAGTGGATGCCTCTGGTCTGTAGCATGACTGGTGAAAACCACGTTACTCACTAGTCCTGCGTAAGGAAATCAGAGGATAGTTTACAGAAGACAGGAATGTAACAGTGACTAATAATCATTTAAGTGATATAACAGTCATTCTTCACTTACTTTCCTTCCATCTCACTACATTAAAGTTATTAAAGGGAAAAAAAATAACAACAAAAAACCACCCAAGCAAGGAAACTTTCATCCATCAAAAGCAATTTAGACTTAATTAATCAAAAGAATCGATTTATTAAAAGAATAAATTCATATGAGAATCAATTTGAGAAGGACTAATTTAATAAAACCAGTAACATTTAAAGACTCTTGGCAAATTTAACGTGTAGAAAGATAGGCTAAACAGCTAAACATCAGTATTTTCGACTCTGACAGTTGCCACTTCCAAAAACAAGAGAACGGTTTTGGTGGGGTTTTTTGTCTCTCTTTTTAAAGAAAGACCCTGAAATAGTATTCAGACAGCAAGTCTGAACCCACAAGGCATCAAAAACAGATAACAGAGAAAAACAATGGGATAACTATTTGTCCTGAGCCCCAATTTCCAAAAAGACTCAGCTGTGTGACCAGAAAAGCAATTCCTCTTTCGGACTTTACAGTATTCCTTCACCTTGCACCTAGTGCCACCGATGTCATTGAAGAAACAGTTACTACTCTTAAGCAAAAACTTTCCAAGATTTGAAGATGTCAATGCAGTCTTCATGTTATACCTGCTGTCTTGCCAGGTATAAGACCAAGTTTCATGAGAACCAACTGCTGATACTGCAGATGCCTCTGAAGGCACTCAGAAATAACACACCAACAATGACAGCCTCGGGCACTGGAAGGGATCTCATTAAGAAAAAAACGCATGATGACATTTTGCACTTATCATCCAACTAATTTCAGTATTATAGAATCTCTGCTTTACAATTACATCAAGAAGGCGTTACGTTAGAATGAATTTCAGCCCAGTTCCTCAAAGAGATTGCAGTGCCAACTCTTCGGGACTCCCTAGGATGTCAGTATTGTCCAGAACGTGCAAGGAAAGCTATTTCTTTGCTCAAGGTGTGCAGCTCATTTCAGTCACTTTCCTGTAACTACAAGTAGAGTGTAAGACAAACAGCGAACTCTCGAATATCCATGAACAACTGAACCAGGATGCATTTCCCTCTGCCCCTAACTCATCGCTATTTAAAGCGGAATATGTAATGAAGCTCACACCGTGATCTGCTGCCTACAGTTATTCCTGATCTTTACAGAAGTCTTTAAAGAACACTTAATCCTTGCGGAGGCTTCTTTACACAGAAAGTTCTATACCAAGTGTTTCTGGGGTACTTCCATTAGACCATACGCTCCCGGTCACTGTTACTTCCATCACTGACCCTTTCAAACCAGAATTTTAATAATAGCCCAAGCAAATTTTCATCATTAGTATTTCTCTTTTTTTAATCTCCCACAGAAGTTTCCACTCTGATTTCAGAAACATTTAAGTTTTCTCCAATACACAGTTGCTCTTGAGGGGCGGAGAACAGCAAGCATGGTCAGAAATTTAAGTCACACGCATGTTTGAAATTATTATGTAGATCATGCAATTAAGATGAAAAGTATGAATAAGCTAATCAACAACCACCACATTGTGGGTGTGCTACGCGCCCAGCGTTTTTTTTTTCTTAATATCCCTGATATCGATTTCAAAATCAAATTTAATTAAAAACATAGTTATACTTTCTGTGAAGCTGGCACAGAACAACAAAAAGGCTATATAACATAAATGCTGCGAAGCATATATTACAGTTAGAAGCGCTATGCCTTGGAGAGAATAGGTAATTGTCAAGGGCTAAGCTGGAAAACCTTAACTTTAAGAAAAAGATTCAAGGAATAAAATATCTAGCAAATCAAGAACCTGTGCATCTTGTCTCATGCACATCACTCATACTCTTTCTCCATCAATCTCCACTTCATTGTCTAAGAGGAACAGCTTTCAGGCACTAGCTGTCACTCTTGCTTGTAAACTCCCACGCAACCTTGGAAGTAACAGAAGACTGCTGAGGGCCTGGGGAACCTGCAAGCCTTGCCTCCGCACACACCTATGTGTAAATCTCACAGGCGTCAGTGTCGCACAAAAACTGGCCCTGTGTTTGCAGGCAATAGTCCATGATACTGAATTGACCGACAAGTAGTGTCATCCAGAAGAAAAATAGCTTTCCGAGAACTAGAAGATGCCCACATAGCTTTAGCAACAAATAATTTTGACCTTTTCTATTTAAATTGTCACTGCCAACTCTGTTTCTACTGCACTTTGAAGACCATCCAGTTTTGTTTAATTCTTTATTCATATATTCATCTAAAGAACAGAAAAAAAAAAAAAGATCTTTGCAGCCTAGGGAATAGCATGTTCAATAGAAGTAGTAAAGAAACAGGAGGGACAGATTAAAAATATGTATGCTTTACAAAAATAATGGATCCTCTTTCTTCCCAAACGTACAATGAGCATATTTAACAATGGTGTCTTAATCTGTAAAACAACTTCATATACAACACAAGAGTGTGACCTTAGACCTTAGATTCATAAGGTGTCATCTTACTGCTTCTGTGCAAGAAAGGAAAAAAAGAAAAAAAGAAAAGAGTGAGACAAAAGGAAGTTACAGCACACAGATGGTGGTAAGATTTTTTTGAAAATTTTAAGCAAGTATGCAAGGGAAAGACAAAGCATAACTGCTAACGTTGGTCATTCTGCTCAAGGCTTTATCAGTTTTCCCTGATCCTCATCCATTTCTGCTAGTCTTGTGGCTTCCCAAACAGAAAGTATGACTCACATAAAACGATGTCATGTTGATAACATGTATAGGTACCCCTTCAAAACGCTATCCTTACTCCCAAAATTTGCAAGATACTTATGCGGACAAGGCTATTAATTCCTACTTGCCTATACTCATACTTTTCTTACTCCCACATTGCAAGTTTCTGTTCTCAGATTTGTACAACAACCAGTACGACACTGTCTTGGCCTGCTGATGCTACAGTAACACAAACAATAATATTGGGGTGCATGACACACACAAAAAAGTAGGACAAATATCTCTGAAAGTGAATGTCTCATGAAATATTGCTAATGTTGCACCAGAAATCAATTCTGAATTAGGCAGAAGTAAATTCTCTACTATACATGTGATACAATTCTGCATTTGTCTGGAAAGTTTAAGAGTGTACCACAATCTCTGTTCAAAGCATACTTTTCCTCCTAAAACTTTTTACGCAAAAATTGCCCCTATTCATGTGTCACAATCTGCTGTACACAAATAGACCTCTAGGCTATCCAGTGTCACATTTTCTATCTGAAAACTAGACGACAAAACCTTGCAACACGCAGAACTAATTCGCTGCCAGAAGAACACTCTCCTAACCTCTGGTATTTTTCCTTCTTTCAGTGTTTGCACCACAGGAACATTAGCTATGCTTGTCGTAAGCATTTTCTAGTTCTTCCTTGAACAATGACAAATTCTCACCCAATCAGGTCTGTACAAACGCACTTAAAAAAAGATAGGTTTGAGTATTTCGTTTCAATTGTCATAAAACAAAAAGGCACAGTTGCACTCTGAGCTTCTCAACAGTTACTGATACTTCATTACATTCTTAAATCTTAGCATTCTCCTGCTCTCTTCAATTTTACCCACGGCTGTAATCACGACAGTTATCTATTGGTCGGTTCCCCAGTTTGTAGCACCAGCATTTTTCTCCAAATGAGAATAAAATACTGTTCTATATAATAGCACCTACATATTTCCCAGTTTGTTTACAACTTCATTCTTTTGGATTTCATTCTTTTGGGCTCCCTTCACAGGTAAGTAAGAAGTGGCACAATTCTGGCAGCAAAACAGAGCACTAGAGAGTCTAAATAGCCACAAGAAGAACGTGGCATCCTGGTCTGACAACTGTATTTTAATACAAAACCAAAAACAACAGTCCTGCCATTCACTTGGGAAGACATAAGTGCAAGATCAGAAAGTCATGCTACAGTAACTGCAGTCCGACAGCGACTTAAAAAAAAGGAAAAAAAGAGTCATCTGTCATTGGTCTATCCAGTTTCAGGCTGAGCTTATAGTATGCCTAAAATATTCTAATATTCTGCCCAAGATTATCTGACTGGAGAGATCTGTATCTGTTCTCATATATGCACACACCCCACATGTACTGGTCTTAACGTTGTAAATCAGCAATACAACTATTAAAAAAAAACTGTAGAGGTGCTTAGTCTATACAACTGTTAAAAACAACCGCAAAGGTGCTATAGATGAACTTGCTTCTGCTCTTGAAACTTAAAGAACTTATTTGGTGATAGGTCAGGAAGGGTCAGATCCCACTTACGCCAACACCTGCTATAAGTTCCAAGCCTGACAAGGAGGATGATGCAGTCAATTATTCATTTCAGAGTCAGGATACAAAACTAAATATACAGATAAGAAACACGTCTTCTGCAAGTGAGCTTTTTTGTCTGCTGCAATGTCAAATGAACCCTGCAAGGTTCCTCCACACTGCATTAAGAGGATAAGGGGAACAAGGCAACCAGCTCATTTTTCCATTTCTGAAACACCAGAAACGACAGGAGAGCCTCGTTTCCTAATACCTCCCCGAAAGAGGATGGAACTCAAATCCAATCCATCTTGCTCCTAAACTAACAACACGTATGAGTTACAAGGTTCCCCGGTTCAAGATAGACAAGGAACTACTGGAGAGAGTCCAGTGGAGGGCAACGAAGATGATGAGGGAACTGGAGCACCTCCCTGATCAGGAAAGGCTGAGGGCACTGGGTCTGTTCAGCCTGGAGAAGAGAAGACTGGGAGGGGATCTCATCAATCCTTACAAACACCTTGAGGATGGGTGTCAAGAGGATGGGGCCAGACTGTTTTCAGTGGTGCCCAGCAACAAGTTAAGGGGCAATGGGCACAAACTGAAACTCGGGAAGTTCCACCTGAAGATGAGGAAGAACTTCTGTACTGTGAAGGTGGCAGAGCCCTGGCACAGGCTGCCCAGAGAGGTTGTGGAGTCTCCTTCTCTGGAGATATTCAAAACCCATCTGGATGCGATCCTGTGCAACTTGGTGTTGGTGTTCCTGCTTTGGCAGGGGGGTTGGACGGGATGATCCCCAGAGGTCCCTGCCAACCCTGGTGATTGTGTGATAAGCAGTTTAACTCGTGGTCTTAGGAAACCCATCCTTCAGATATGGAGAACTAGAACGCATCGCACTCCATATTCTTACATCTTCTCCAGGTGCCTATGTAGTTTAATAGTGATTGTCTGTTCTGCACAGATGGTTCTTACCTCCAATAGTTTATCATGATCCTTTGAATACATACATTTACAGTGTATTTATTTGGCCATATGGCTCAGTTACTTGTTCTGTCTAGCTCAAAGTCAAGAAAAGTAACACGTACCTTGTGAACACTGGTCCAAGAACTTGGGAAAAAGAAGCCTAAAAAACAAAAAAATCAGACATTTGTATATCAAGAATGGATATTACTAAGTAAAGCATTTACTTCCATTTGGACACTGACAGCTCGAGTCTTACTATCGAAACCATTTTCATGTTTCTTTTCCTCAATCCGTGTAACTGGAACATCCCCACAGGTTACACCTTTCAGAAGTTCTTCCCCAAAAATTAGTTTTGTAGATGGTTTTAATTCTTTAATGGATTTAAGAGCTAATTCCCACCATACAGTCTATTCCATATTCTAGGAAGTCAGAAAGGCTTAAACATTATTTTAATTCCTGTTTAATCAATAGGAATTTTAAGCTTGCCGTAAAGAACTGTGCCTTCCAAATATGGTGGGAACGCTCCATGGAAAGACTGTATGTACATAATGCTTTCTGTACATATCGTACCAATTTCTGGTATTGTGTCAGACAAGTGACAATTATTTTTATGAGCTTTATCATGCACATAAAAGCTCCAGAAATAGTACTTTATCTGTCCCTCTTCAACTATCTCTCCCCTGCCCTGGCTTGCTATTCAATACAGGGAAGAACTCCATCCAAGGCTCATGAAAGAGCTAGATCTCTACAGTAATGAACCCTGAAAGAAGAAAGGGTTTTGATTTTCTTGACTGCAAAAGTTTCAAGTCAGACATTAAAATAATTCTTCTTGATTCTCACAGTGAAATCACCAAAGCTTCCCAACTGAAAGATTTGTCATTAGCAGTACGTGGCTACTTGGTAAGTTCTTATCAGAAGAAACTTCAAAGCGAGACACAAATAGTGCACAGCACAGGCTAAGCCTCTTCCTTCAATTGCTACTGCACTTCAGGAGACAAACAATGTTAGTCAAAGATTGCAGGGTACTGCTGCTATAAATACTACCCAGTACCATGACCAGTAACACGTTAGTAAGTTTAAAAAAAAAACACCTAGAAATGGAACTTGTCTTTCCTTTAATTATGGAAAGAACAAGATTAAACAGCACTCCAGCATCAACTCACCAATATCTTATGTAGTCTTTATTATTTATTTACCATCTTTGTCACGGAGAGAAAAAGAAGCAGTAAGATAGCACCTATTCATTGACAGGTGTAAAGCACAAGAAGCATAGTGGTTAGTGTTTTAAAAACAGCTAGGAAGTTTAAGGAATGCACTTTTATAAAATGACTGGGCAGTTCATCTCTAAGCTGCAACGCACAGATTTTTATCACAAATAGAAGCAATGTTAAGAACTCTGAAAATTGTAACTTACTTTCATCTGATTTGCAAGGTGTAATTGCAAAATCTAAGCATTACAATTTTACAGATCGGTATAGGAAATTAGTTCCATGTTTGTTGAAGTGTGGAACACACACACACACTATGAAACAGCAACCAAACCACACTATTTAAAAAAGTCAGTGACTTGGCTTTGCTACTGTTTCCTCCCCACCCCACCTCTGCAGTAACCCAGGACATCAGATTTTAATACTTGCAATGCTTTTGCTTCCGTGCTTTGTCGTTCCCTTCCACTAAGTTCCACTAAAATAAGTTATGTATTTTAAATCTGTGAAGTCTTCATTTAATATCTGAAAGTAGTGACACAATTTGGTCTCTTCTCCCTGGTAACTAGCAATAGGACAAGAGGAAACGGTCTCAAGTTGCGCCAGGGGAGGTTCAGGTTGGATATCAGGAAGAATTTCTTCGCTGTAAGAGTCGTTAGGCATTGGAACGGGCTCTCCAGGGAGGTGGTGGAGTCACCATCCCTGGAGGTGTTCAAAAAACGTTTAGATGTGGCGCTTCAAGACATGGTTTAGCGGGTTTAGCGGGCATGGTGGCATCGGGTGTATGGTTGGACTTGATGATCTTTGAGGTCTCTTCCAACCATAATGATTCTATGATTCTAATCAATAACCCAAACCGAGGTGCATGTCTCAATTTTTAGTCATACTTACAGAAAGATCAAAGAAAAAGAATGATTTAAAAAGCACACAAGAGGACAGTTGACTGTTCAGATTTTATAGAGTCCTTAGCCAGAGTATACATATTTAAGCAGTACGCTAATGACAATCTTTGTTTATTCTTCCACAAGCTAAACTTTTATTAATATTATATATAATTATATACCTCCTGGAAACCAAGCGTCATCCTTACAAACCAAACAGCACTTCGAAGTTCAGCCAAGATGGATTACGTAGCAGTTTTATGAGATTTAGGACAGTTCAATGGCATTTAAACATCATGTATCTCTAATCATTATAAAAGTGATCTCATAAACTTACATACCCATTTTCAAACTACTAAAAATATTTTAAAGTATACCTGTGTTCAATATAGCAACTCAATGGCTCCACACAAGTATTAACTGCTCCAATGATGAAAGAAGACTTCACATCTGGGTCAGGATGAGTTTGCAGAGCCTGTACAACATCAATAACATCAGTATATCTGTAAGAAAAGAAAATGAAATATGGTTTCAGAGAAACAGAACGACACATTTCAAGACCTAGTAAGAAATCAATTGCTTGCAAGAAGGTTAGATTTCTAAAAAGCCTACGAAAATAGTTATATAAAGCAGTTCAAAACTTGGCAAATCCAGACAAATTAAGCTGACTGCAAGTAACATGAGAAATAAATTATTGACAACTACAGAGAAAAGCAGTAAAAACTTTGCACTGAACAACTGGAAAGTCCGGCTTTCAGAAAATACAAAAAACATAATGTAATCCAAGCATGTTATGTCTACTGCCAAGCATATTAAGCACTAAGTACGATTCAAATAAAAAAAAATTAAAAAGCAACATCTCTCACTTATCAGCATTCCAATTTAAGTGTGCTTCTATAATTAATGCATCCATTTTTTATCAGTACTCCAGCCATTGCTGTATTATACTTCTGTATAACAGCAAAGTTTAGGTAAACCTGAGTTTTTATTCCAGGTGTTTATTTCTCAGACAGTTACGATCTTCTCTCAAAACTGTACCGTCAGTTATCAAGTTAATCAACTATTGAAAGAACTCCAGCTACTTTAAAGCCGTCTATACCACCACTCAACTACCCAGAAAGAATGGAAAACCTGTAATTAGCCATTCCTGAAGCTAGTTTGCTACCAGAATATTGGTGGATTTTATACCACTCCTATTAAATTTAAGGAAAAAAAATAATCTGACTCTAACATGGAAAAAATTATGCTTTTCTGCACTATGGACCATAATGAAGAAAATGCTAAGCTCCATATATGCCCTTAGTGAAAGAGACGAACACTTGCTAGCCTGGGAACCAAAAGCATCCAGCCAGGCTAGGGTAGCACTTCCCTCAAGTTAGTTTTTGTTACCTGCTAATGACTCAGAAACAGAGTGTGCAAACATACTGCAGATGATATTAGTTCTCAAATGCTATACTTGAGATGGAAATGTCAAACAGAGATGGCTCAGAGTCTTCACATTTATTCCACAACAAAACTGGCATTTATCTGTTGATCAGTCCTCAGTATTGCCTGCTGTATCAAGTGAATAGCATATTTTTGACAGCCTGCTTTCTGTTAGTAGTTTTAGAGGTCATAATCATAGAATCACAGAATAGTTTGGGTTGGAAGGATAAAATGGTTTGGGTTGGAAGGGACATTTTGAACCCCCATCCACCCCCCCCCCCTGCCATGAGCAGGGATTTCTTCAACTCGATCAGGTTGCTCAGAGCTCCATCCAACCTGACCTTGAGTGTTTCCAGGGATGGGGCATCGACCACCTCTCTGGGCAACCTGTGCCAGTGTTTCATTCTCACCGTAAAAAATGTCTTCCTTATTTCTAGGCTAAATCTACCCTCTTTTGGTTATAAACCATTACCCCTTGTCCTATTGCAACAGGCCCAGCTAAAGTTTGTCCCCATCTTACTTATAGGCCCCCTTTAAGTACTGAAAGGCTGCAGTAAGGTCTCCTGAAGCCTTCTCTTCTCCAGGCTGAAGAACTCCAACTCTCTCAGCCTGTCTTCGTAGGAGAGGTGCTCCAGCCCTCAGATGATCTCCGTGCCCTCCTCTGGACTCACTTCAACAAGTCCATGTCCTTCGTGTGCTGAGGGCCCCAGAGCTGAAGGCAGTACTGCAGGGGGGGTCTCACCAGAGTGGAGCAGAGGGGCAGAATCCCCTCCCTTGACCTGCTGGCCACGCTGCTTTGGATACAGCCCAGGACATGGTTGGCTTTCTGGGCTGCCAGCGCACACGGTTGGGTCATGTCCAGCCTTTCATCCACCAGTACCCTCAAGTCCTTCTCCTCAGGGTTGCTCTCAATCCCTTCGTCCTCCAGCCTGTATTGATATCAGGCCTTGCCCCAACCCAGGTGCAGGACCTTGCACTTGCCCTTGTTGAACCTCATGAGGTTCACACAGGCCCACTTCTCAAGCTTGTCCACATCCCTCTGGATGGCATCCTGTCCCTCAGGTGTGTCGATCTCACCACACAGCTTGGTGTTGTCTGCAAACTTGCTGAGGGTGCACTCAATCCCACTGTCTATGTCATTGATGAAGATATTAAACAGCACTAGTCTCAGTATGGACCCCTGAGGGACACCTCTCATCATCAGTCTCCATCTGGTCATTGAGCCATTGACCACTACCTTCTCGATGTGACCAGCCAACCAATTTGTTATCCACCAAACACAGTCCACCCACCAAATCCGTATCTCTCCAATTTAGAGAGAAGGATGTTGTGAGGACCATATCAAAGGCCTTACAGAAGTCCAGACAGACGACATCCTTAGCTCCTTCCTTGTCCACTGATGCATGCAGTCACTCCATCATAGAAGGTCACTAGGTTGGACAGGCAGGACTTGACTTGGTGAAGCCATGCTGGCTGTCTCAAATCACTCCCCTGTCCTCCATGTGCCTTAGCATAGCTTCTGTGCTTGGAAAGATCCTCCTAGAGGTGAGGCCGACAGGTCAGTAGTTCCCAGGTTCTTCCTTTCTACCGTTCTTAAAAATGGGCGCAATGTTTCCCTTTTTCCAGTCACCAGGGACTTCACCTGACTGTCGTGACTTTTCAAATATCATGGAGAGCGGTTTGGCAATGACATCAGCCAGTTCCCTTGGGACTCTGGGATGAATCGCATCCAGTCCCGTGGACTTGTGTGCATTCAGGTTCCTCAGATGGTCACGAACCTGATCTTCACTTACAGTGGGAGGGACTTTGCTCCCCTAGTCCCTGCCTTGCAGCTCATCCACTCAAGAGGTGTGGGAAGAGAGGTTGCCAGTGAAGACTGAGGCAAAAAAGTTGAGTACCTCAGCCTTCTCCTCATCTGTTGTTACCAGTTTGCCAGTCTTGCTCATTGGGGAAGGACAGGGGTGGGGTACATATTCTTTGTCTTTCCTTTTCTGGCTCACATACCTGTAAAAGCCCTTCTTATTCTTTGCATTCCTTGCCAAGTTCAGCTCTATCCACGCCTTGGCCTTCCTGACCCCATCCCTACACAACTAGGCAGTATCCCTATACTCTTCCCAGAATATCAGTCCCTGTTTCCACCGCCTGTGCATTTCTGTCTTGCCCTTTAGTTTGACCAGCAGGTCTCTACTCAGCCATGCCAGTCTCCTGCCTTCCTTGCCTGATTTCTTATACCTGGGGACCAAGGGCTCCCGCGTTCTGTCAAAAGCGTCCTTAAAGATCTGCCAGCTCTGTTCTGCTCCCTTGTCCCTGAGGGCAGTTTCCCACGGGGTCCCATTGATTAATTCCTTGAATAGCTGGAATTTTGCTTTCCTAAGATTCAGGGTCCTAACTTTACTCTTTGCCTGACCCATATCCCTCAGGACTGCCAATTCCACCAGTGCATGATCACTGCAGCCCAGGCTGCCTCCAATCTTGACATCACTGATTAGCTCACTTGTGTTGATGACCATCAGGTCTAGTATTGCATCCCCTCTGGTAGGGCTGTCTATTACTTGGCTTAGGAAGTTATCATCATCCATGCACTCCAGGGGTCTCCTGGACTGCCTATAGCTCACCATGCTACTTTTCCAGCAGATGTTGGGGTGGTTGAATTCCCCCAGCAGGTCAAGAGCCTGCAAGCTCTTTATGGAGCAGTTCGTTCTGAAGTACGGAGATTCAAAACATAGTATGACAGAAGTGATGTGCAAAAATTGCACAAATATTTATTTGGATAGCAACACACATGCATGCACTATTGCCGCTCTTTTTTCTTATCTTTTATCAACTGGAACTTTGAAAGTTTGTGTCACATTTTTTGTAGCTAATACTGCCAAACAATCAAAGCAAGGACTACCAGAAATGAAAAAAAAAAAAAAAAAAAAAGGCAAGCATCTATGCACACAATACTTGCAAAAAAGCAAAGATCCATTCTTACACTTACTGTAGCACACTCGTTCTCTGTGTAAAAAATTCAGTAAGAGTTACAGTAGCTTAGGCTTTTAAGTTTCCATTTGGAGGAAAAAATACTGCAAACTGAACGAACCATTCAATTCTGGAAACAATGAAGTTATTTATTAAAGATTCTCTAGCACTCACTGATCTTTCAGAAGTTTAAGGTACTGTAAGCACTTGAGAGATACAATTACAGTTTTTATGTCACACTATATCACACTTCCTAAAATTAATTTCTATTCTGAAGCAACTCAAAATTTACCAAGATGTGCTCATACAATGCCTTAGAGACAACAGATCTTCCTCTGAAAGAAACAGGGAGGTGCTCCACCCCTACTTTTCATCAAAACAATTTCAATGTTTTAGCAAACTTTCAATGAAAATTACACATGAAAGGTAGGGCGAGAACTCAGCTAACATGCTTTTCTGCATTCTGTAAAAAGTTGCGCATTTATGTCAAGTTTTTTTCTGTTTTACCAGGAAAATACAGGTCTATTGGGAAAAAGTAGCAGTAATTCATTTGCGTACTAACAGGGACTACAACACGCAACACTCCCTTTAAATATTAAGATAATGCTACAGCAGGTAATATTCAGTAATACAGTAATATTCACCTGCAGCTCTGGAGTGCAACTTGCAATGCAATCTCAAGCTATCTCTGCTCCAAATCTCTCATCTAAATCTATGGCTTTAATGACAGACAACCAGTACTCCAGCAGTCTTTAAAGACAGGTAACCAGCATGAAGAAGTCTCGCCAGCCTTTGAAGAGCAAATATCTATCAAGGACCTCTGGAAGGGGGCGAGGGGGGAGGGGCCCGACACCAAAAACCGAAAAGAAACCACACACAGCTGCACCAATAAATAACACCATTTAACAACAGTCTTAAGATGTAGTTGGAAAGGGCATGAAAACTTCTTTTGAGAAGCCAAAAATTACAGTCAGTCTCCTAAATAGGGAAGAACCACCAAATGCAGCCCTTCCTTCCATATGATTCAAGGAAGACCACAGACATCTTTTTTATAATGGAGTAACAAGCAACAACATTAACAGGTTGCAGAAAAGCTGAGTTTAGTACGTACATCAAACAGAATTCACAGAGCACCACACTTTAGCACAGAAATTTGCCTGCTTCAGAGTGATGGGAAAGTTTAAAAATGTGTTGGAAATAGGAAAGGAACAGAAAAACCTTTATTCTACACAATAGTTGAAAGAGTTTCAAACATTTACCCTTGCAAGACCACTAAGAGACGTTTGTTCTTCTTAGCATAAGTGGACTGACGGACGCTGTGACTTTGCTGAGCCTCCAGGACACTGGAGAGGTAGCGCTGGAAGTGGGTTGCACTGAAACATTCAGGACTATCCATAGTTTGCCGATAAACTATCCACCTAAACAACAGAAAATAAGGAAAGAAGTTAATGTCCTATGACATATTATCTCTGTTTTCTTTTCATTTTGAACCAGCAGACCAAAAATAAATTTGACAAACCCTAAGAGTCCACATCTCTCATACCACATGGGAAATAGGAATTTACTTGGCTTTCTATCATTTCCAGCATCAGCACATTCTTTACATTACTGCCAAAAGGTTTTGTGGGGTTTTGTTGTTGTTTTTTAATAGAACAACATTCAACAGCTCTTCAAAGCAGCACATCATATGAGTAATTCTGATCTTTGTTCGTGATGCAGTGAACAAAAAATTATACAAATCCAATTCAAAAGACTGGGCATGAAAATATTTTACCCCAAAAATAAAAAGGAAAACATGATGAAATTTGCAGGAAAACATGATTAAATGTATTTGTACAGAACATTCAAAAGTCACCTCACATGTCCACCCTAAAAACAGAACCACAAAAAGGTTCTGAACCGACTTGAGAATATCAAGACACTGAGTTAAAAGTAATACAAAAAAACCCAGTCTAGAACATTACTAAGATTAAATGCTAAGGTGTTCGGCTGTAAGATTTAAAAGGATAAGAATTTATTTTTTTTATTTTTCCAGAAGCTATATCAACACACAGTATGGCAAATTTCTACAGGAGATCTATCTTACTGCCATACTATAGATGTCTTGAATTTATCTCCTACTACTGTAGAATAGAAACCAGGTAAGATTAAAAACAATGCTGTAGCAAGAACTGTTAGTATAGTCTTTTCTCCAAGAAAAATACATTTTAGACTCACTACCACAAGTCAATTAATGGAAGATCTTCACCCATTTCCTTCAAGTTGGGACAACTTCCATACTGCTTAAGGCAAGATTCATTTGGTCCTTCTATGATTACTCCTAACTCTTTGTAGCATCAGTGATAGTTCCAGACACATGTCACAGCTCTACGGTGATACCTGTGGCATTCTTAACATGGAATATCAACAAAGAAATCTCCTGTGCTATTTTTCTTGTCTAAATGTCTAAAAACTAAGGGCAAATCTACTGGGCATGACAAAGTTAAATGAGATACCTGAAGTAACAGAACTAAAGTAATATACCCTACCCTACAGCGTGCTATGTAGAACTAGCTATGTAGAACCAGTAAATAAATTTACTGAATTTATTCTTGTAACACATCTGTTCACAAATTAGAAACCGGGGAATAAAAAAAAAAAAAGGCAAATTAATGGAAACATTGACAGTTTCATTTCCTTCATGCTGAGTAGTTGTTTGCTGATGAGCATGACCACTGCTGTGGACTGTAAAACCAGAACTGTACAAACCTTCCACGCTCCTTGTTAAAAGTCACAAGAAAAGCGCACAGATCGCTGCAACGACATCCTGGAAGGCCAGTTATAATGGTGATAACCACCTAAAACACAGGGAACAGATAACAAGGCGGGGGGGACAACTTGAAGACTAGAAGTGAGCTCCAACAATTGCGCGCACATAAGATTTTATCAAGACAGAAGCCTTAAGTCTAAACACAAAATTAAGCGACACTAACCACAGAAAGAGCAAGATAGTATAGAACTGTAGTAGCGTTTATGCAATTACTCAGATATGCATCATTTTAGAAAGATGTGTTTTCTCGTGGTTTTCATACCTTAAATACAGTGAAAAGATAATTAACAAATACAGCAAACAGTATTATCAAAACCTTTACATTAAAACCTAGTCTGCAGTATAAGTATTAATGCAAATGTCAGACAAAACACTGCACGAGACACCCAAAAGGTTATGTGTCCTGTGATGAAAAGGGTGCATCCAAATATCTAAGAGTATTGGAGCAAAATGGTTCAAAAAGCGATGCTGTACGTTAAACAGTCTTGTCAAACAAGAAGTGCAACTCTAGGTTTCTGATACCAAACCGAGCATGCTATACATAAAATTTATTCCAGCAAAGCTGCATTTTGAGTAGGATTGGTAAGAGGCTGCAAAATAACAGCTCTAACATACCAATGGCTTTTGAGCATAAAGCACCTCTGTCATCATTATGTGTATTTCTTGTGTTATTTAGACAGGGATCGTACCAAAGAAACACTGAAAAGCAGTCAGAGCATATCTCCAAAGTGTGTGTACATATATATTTCTACACTACATACTGGAGTGTGCTACAGAACTAAGCAAATGAGCTCTGGAGGAAATGCAACTAAAACAACTGTCTGTGCTGAACTTCACTTAAAAAATTATGTCACACTGGTAACCAGTCATCACACTGTGTATCATCCTGCTACTAACAGACAAATTACCTCTTCCAGTTTCTAACTACATGATATTTGATGATAGTCATCTGCAGACTATTTGTATCCTATCCACAAAATCACTTTTGGATGCTCACAGAAAATGAGTATTCATGATAACAGACATAGAGAAGTAACTCAGAAAAATCAGAGGTACTAAGTTTGTATGTTTTACAGAATTTGGTATGAAAATTATAACAAGATTTTTCTTCCTTTTTCTTTTTTTTTAACATATGCAATGACAGTTAAACTAACCTTAAAAACAGATTTAAAAACATTCATAAGGGTTTATTAATTAATACTTAATTTAAGTGTCAGTATGGTCTCTGAACTAGATCCCAGGAAATAAGTCTGCCACCATATTGCAATATTCAAAGAGAAAAGACTACATTCCTGCTGCTTCGACTTTCTTGCTTACAGCAGATTTCAAATGCTGGAAAGTTACAAGGAAATATTTTCTCTGAAAATGCTATTTAAAGCACTCCTTAAGTTTGACAATTGTTATTCCCCCTATAGAGAACCGAGTGTTCTACAGATAATATCAGCAAATGTTAAATATCATGTGCTACCTCTATGCTATTTAAAGGACTTTTATGTTCCAGAGAACAATTCAGCTAAATTATTCAGCAATTCATAAAAACAAGCTACTGCTTTAGGGTTAACTCTCTCTGGACATTAGAGAAAACTGTTCAATGAAGGGCCATTAGCACTTCCAAAAGATTGTTTAAATGAAAAGAAAAAAAAACACAAACCAAAAAAACCACCCCAAAACTAAGTAATGTAATCAGGAAAACAGGACAGAGCAATTTATTCTAAGAAACACTTGAAGCAAGTTCAGCGTGAACTGGTGACACCGGAGAAGAAGGGAGAGAGTGTGGTTAAACATACATCAGTACTTCACTACATTACCTGCAACAGAATAACGACAGACAGAATATTTGCTAAATATTCTATACTAGGGATGGGAAGTATTGTTGGGTTGCTTCCTTACCTTATCACTTTCTGCTTTGCTATCAGGAATGATTTCCGATTGTTGCAATAAAATAGGAAGATGTGCTCTCATTATTGGCTCACGACTGACGCTGCTGACTGTAAAATGTCGCACAAACCTTTCAAAAATAAAAATTTTATTTTCTTACAATCGAGACCAAAAGATTTCATTCATATAAACAGTTGGGAGATTACTAAAATAAGATTGTTAAAAGGTCAAACAGAGGCTTCCTAGAGAGGAAATAATTTATCTCAGAATAAAAATATCTAGTGCAAAGACAGATTTATTTCATAACCAATTTTCAGACGACTATTACATGTACCAAAATATTTTTGTATTATTTCTGACCAAACTGATGCCTTGAAAACAAAAATAATCTCTCACCTCTCTAATTCTGGAAGGGCAGCAGATATTTTCAGCTCCCTGCATCTTTCCCCAGAAGGAAAAGACAAGGCATTAAATAGCTTCTGAACACTGGAATGCCTGAAACAAGGAAATAAGTTAATTGGTTAGTTAAAGGAGAAACTTAGATATTTGTCTTCTTTAAACCAGATAGCTACATATTAACTAGCACAAAAAAATAAAGTGAGTGTTGCGCTAAGGATGTAACAATTCCTATTTGAATCGTTATCAAAATCTTCAATGAGTTACACCATTTTTTTGATTGTAGCACATAGTTAATGTATAATTGCATGGAGTAAGTGGCATGAACTTACAGTCTTTTTTGTTGCACTGGCATGAACTTACAGTCTTTTTTGTTGCACAGACAGGAATTCTTCCTGGACAATCCTTAAAGATAATCCTGAGTTTGTCTGGTTTTGCCATGAAGAGAAAACCTGAAACAAGTCAGATCTACGCATAAGCATCATTATTTTGCAAAATTTGTTTTGAATGTGTTTAGGAATTGTTTTTGTTCACCTAAAAAAAATACACGCATTTTAACCAGACATTAAGTATTTCACAATACTGGTTTTGCTGCAAGAATCCAAAATATGGAAGAAGCCTCCACAGACCAGATTTTGTAAGCTTCTCTTTGACTAGACTGGAACTGCTTTAAAAAGTAACTTTACTGAAATGGTCTAGTTTTCCCCCCATCTTGATAGCTGGGGAAAAAATTCTAGGAACAAAAATTCACCCACCAAAGCAACAGTACCATTCATGTGTATCTTTTAGTCATAGCATGCTTCACAGATAAAAATGCTAGGTATTTATAGTCCAACTGCTGTACAGCAGGAACTGAATTTATATTAGCCTGCTTTAAGTAGTGTTGTAATTTTCATGAGGTAAGATTGCAGCAATCATTTCTAGAAATTTGAGAAAAACCCTGTTCCTTCACAGAACAAAATAGAGCCCTTCGTTTCTCTAGGGAACAGTGTTTTGGCTCGAATCCTATTGCGCTAGCCAAGTCACATTAATATGAATGGCACTCAGAACCTAGAAATCAGATTCAGATGAATCACAGTCATTTAAGTGTTCGGTATTTCCCTTCTTTTAATAAGTAAAGGCAACAGCCATTGTTATTTTTCACAATAATTTGCTGCAAGACAAAACAACTAGGGGGGAAAGACTGCTTTCCATTAACAAATCGGCATCCTAAACACAAGGGTACTGAGATAAAAAACATCAAAAAAAACCCCCAAATTTTTGATACTAACAAAGACAATATTGCTTGTGTAGAGGGATCCATGCAACCAAACAAATAACCACTTCAAAACGCATATAAGAGACTAAGGAAAATGCCTACAAGGGATGGAAAGAAGGGCTGGTCAACAGAGAGTTTTATTCTTTAGAAGTCAAAGGGCTAGGGGACAAAGTGAAAACACAGGTCAGACTAAGACAGAACCCAATGGAAATAAATCAGATCTTTTTGTATAACTTCATGAACATTTTTTAAAAAGAGCTGCTATGGCATTAGAGAAGGTGAAGAGAACCAGAGAAATCGATACATCCCAAAGTCTAAGCAAATTTTCCTCCCCTACCAATTACAGTGAGGATGTGCAAGGTACTGTCCCATCTTCACAGGATCTGCAAACCAGATTCCAGTCCTGTGTGCTCAAAATCTTGCAACTGTCTCAGTTACAAGCAATTTAATGCACTTGGATCTGGAGGAATGGGTAAACGCCATCCGCTATTTCAAGAAGGCTTGGCATAATTAAAGCATAGGTCCAGTAAGCAAGGTATCATGCCATATAATTGTAGAATAGTAAAATCAGTATCTATATTTTAGTGAATCTTTGTAACTAGAGGTCTGTAGAATGACTACTATGTCTGTGTGACTTCAACGGCATGCAGATTTTTAGAAAAAATTTTAGAGGAAATCAATAAATACCTGAAGGTAAATACTAATAAAATACAATTTTATGTTTCCATGGCTTACACAATCAGGTACACTTGATCTTACAAAGAGTTTTCGTTCATGAGATAACATCTTCAAGACAAAAGACATGCCTCACCTACTTGAACTTGAGCAAAGCAACTGGTACGGTGCCAGATAAGAAACTGTTAAACTGTAGAAACTGAAACGCAGTATAGAACTGTTTATCAAAAAGCTAACTTGAAGGAGGACCTTCAAGTTCAATAAACAGCACTTACAAAAAGCAGCAGCAGGCTGATGACATCCACCAGCAGAGTTGCTTAGGGCACGCCCAGTGACACCCTTTGTAATGAATTTGGCATAGACTGAAGTGAATTGACAGCATTTTGGGGAGCTAAGTTGGGAGACAGCCTACACAGCATTGAGATGCTTCACAGAAGAATAGACTTAACTGTAAGAATGGAAGAAACAAAGAAAAGCAGGAGGGAGGTAAGGACGAAAACAAGAATGAGCACACAAACATTTCAAGAATCAGCTGGAGTAGCAGTAGAATCAGTGGGTAGCAAAAGAGAAAGGATCTGAAGGAGTTCCTCAGAAAATGAGAAAGATCTATTAATTCAAGGTAGCAGTGAAAACTAAAGGCAAACCAAGGGTACCTCTGAACATTCTCAGAACTATTACTATCTCTGCACAAGAACAAATACCCTCATCTCAGATACTACACACAAATGGGATATCCACAGCCAAAAAACAGATCAAAAGAAAAGTATTACAGAATCACAGAATCAGTTTGGTTGGAAGAGACCTCTGAGATCATCAAGTCCAACCTTTGCCCTAACACCACCATGTCAGTTAGACCATGGCATTAAGTGCCACCTGCAGTCTTTCCTTAAACACCTCCAGGGATGGTGACTCCACGACCTCTCTGGGGAGCCATTTCCAATGCCTAACAACCCTTTCTGTGA